AGGAAGGAAGGAAGGAAGGAAGGAAGGAAGGAAGGAAGGAAGGAAGGATTTCTAATGCTCCGTGCCAGCTTCCGACAAGCAAAGTCAATGGGGAAGCCGGTAGCAAGTCTCAAGTCACTTACACTCCCACTGCTTTTTTGCCCTTAGTCATTCTGTTTCTCTGTTTAGGTAAGGAAATATCTCTGAAACGATGACCCAATGAGTCATGGGTTGCCTAGTTAATATTAATATTAGGGCTCCCATATACGGGCTGCAAAAATCTGGATGACCACCAGCTGGCAGCCAAAGGCTAACTCTATGCAAATAACTCTTTGCTGCCATCTAGTCATTGTTCAGATTTTTTGAGCTCAGACATTATAGCCCTATTAGAGGGTGCAGGGAACAAGGTTATCTTGGCCCTATTATCATATCTCACAAGATGGATAAGCATGAATAGTAAAAAGTATGAGTGAGTGAATGGTCCAGTTGATGCATTCACCAGAAACAATTACTAAAACTCATCCTGGAGTGGACCATTTTAGATTAGATCATGCTTCCTCTGAAGGTAATAATGTTTTTCCTCAGAAAGAAAATTGGCCATATCATACTTGCATACATACATTCATACCCATCACACTATTCTTTTTTAGGACAAGCAATATTAGGCAAATTGCAGAAAAGAAGTAAGAAATAGTAAGCCAAAGAAATTAAAATCATACGATTACAAAGGAAAAGGACATTTAGGTAAAGCTAGTTTATACTAACATCATTCACTACCCTTCTCCATATCTTTCTATCCTAATAAAGCATCCATGCTTCCACCATGTCTACATACTGGTTCATAGGTTGGCTTTTGATGGTTAGACCATGTGTAGAATAACAAATCAGCTTGCCTCACTTACCTGTGAAGTATTTTGATTTTGCTGTTAACAATCGAGTGTTGGAAAAGCAGCCCACTCCTCCCTCTGCAGCTTGAGATAGTATATTTCAGCGGAAGACTGCCATTTAATTATACTGATTGGAAAAGTTGGATGAGATTTTGAGTAAAGATGAATGATGAAGAAGAAAGATTGGGCAAACACGATAAATGAATCTGAATGAGCAAGCTTCTTGGTTTTCTTCAGTCATGTTTGTGGCTTCCATGAATAACCATGTTGTTGGGTACTAAGATGTTAAATGTTTCCGTCTGCACAGAGAAAGTGTAGGTCAGTTCTTTCCCATCTATTTTTGAATTGTTACTGGAGGCACATTATATGAATTGGAGGGTAGGTGATGCAATTATTATGTTTCTTTCCAAACCTGACACTTTTTAAACATTTCACATTAATGCTTTAATTCTAAACACAGTTTCTCAGAAATTGATTTTAGTAACATTATGTTTTAAATCTTAAAATTACTATTGTAATTAACATTCTGATTTAAGACTCTGTTTCAATGTTTTAAATTAATTATAATCTCTGTTGTTGCTAAAATGTAAGCATTTTTCTTTAAATAATTGGGAACCATTTTATTTTGAAAATTCTTAAATATAAAATTACACACAAGAATCATAACATCATAGAATTGTGAGGAGTTATTTAGGCAATTGAATCCAACCCCTACTCAGTGCAGGAATCCAGATTCAAGCATCCCTGACAGATGACATTTGAACACATCCAGTGAAGATGAGCCATCAACTGAGTAATAATTCTGTGTTCTGTACTCTGGAATGATAGAAGACAGGGCCTTCTTTTGCTTGTCATTTTTTCAGGTATTTGGAGAGTGCTATAATATCTATCTACTTCCCCCTTCCCACCCCACATTCCAGCTTTTACTTCTAAAGATTAAGCATTCCCAGGTCTGTCCATCTTTCTTCATAGAACTCAGTTTCTAGTGCTTTGAATCCCTCTCATTTTTCTCATCACTCTTCTTTGAACCTGTTGTCTGGGATAGCAATGTTATCTGGGAAGAGTTTCAAACCTGAATAGATTATGTGGAAATGGACAGAGTCCTTTAGGAAATGAGCCCTTTCACCCGTGAGCTTGATCCCTGCTCCACCTGGCAGGGAGAGTTAACAAAAAAAGAAAGAAAGAAAGCTAAGTCTGGGCTGATGCAAATGTCTTGCTATGGGAGGAAGGAATGCTGATGTCCTGGAAAAGGTCATTGGTGGAAGAGGTCCTGGACCCAGCTGTATTAATCCAATCTCTAAAATGCCTATTTGGGGGAGGGTGATTAAGATGGTGGTGGGCCATCAGCTACAGAAGATTCGGAAGAAACAGATTATCTGGATTCCTTTCATTTGGAGTTCAAGCCTGAACAGGGGATGGATATTGCATTTATTGCTCTGATTGATGATCTATGATGGGTCTTAGATAGAAGGAGGCAGCCTAGATCTTTTGGATCACTTACAAGTGCTGGAATTGGGGCATCATTCTTTGGTGGTTTGATTCCTTCCTGGTGGGCAGTTTCAGTTGGTGTGCATAGGGGAGGAGAGATCAAGCTACTGGGCACTCCCGCACCTTATTTAACATCTATATGAAACCAGTGTGGGAGGTCATCCAATGATTTGGGGTCTGGTATGATCAATATACTGATGGTATCTACTGTAGGTATAGATCTACTTCAGGCTGTCTGGAAGATGCAGTAGAAGTCTTGTCTCAGTGTCTGGATGCTGTTTGGATGGAGAGAAAAGGGTTAGACTCAGTGATAGCAAGAACGAGTGCCTATGGGTTCAAAAACTGATGGACTCTGAGACAATATCAAGACCACTTGCTCCAAATAGATTCTGCTTGTTTCTGTAGGAAGTACTTACTGAGAGTCTCCACTCCTCACAAAGTGCAACAAGAGAGGATTCAGAGAGGACTCACTTACAACATATAGGAAGTTTTTAACAACCTGGCTTGTTCAATGTGCATTTGGGGACTAAGTCAAGAATGGATAGAAGTACCTGAATCTGGGATGAATCTGGTTGATTGATGACTGTAATATTATTATCACTGACTGTATCTTTTATTTTTGATATATCAATATATTTATTGATTGGTGTACTGTTATACAGTATATTGAACATTATGCTCACAAGCTTCTTAGAGGCTGGTGATTGAAAT